AAAGGAATTGGGGATAGCACTCATGTGGTAAAATAGTGAATAATTGTTATCAGGACTGACTGTGAGGGGTGGAAATGTAAAGGTAGACATTTTGTAGCAAAAGGAAGGGAGTGAATGAATTTGCAGTCCAGGAGCGAAGGTCCCTGGGACCATCAAGTGAGACCCTACCCAGAGAAACAGAGATGCCAGAGATGGAGGCAGCCATGATGACATGGAGAGATGGAGCAGCTGGGCACTCTAGACCCAGAGAGGGAGAGGGGCTGTGTGCTGACGACCAAGGGACAGGTTTGCAGGATATACTCTGTGGTTGGTTGATGATGCATGGAGGGGATTGTAACCATGGCAATGAAACGATATTTGATAGGATAAATGTAAAGCTAATGTTCTCCCATGGAAACTACCACATAATTTACAATAAAACATTAAATGTATATATCAGAAACTGATGGTATAACTGAGTTTCAGTTTATGGTGATGGAAAATGTCAATGAAAAGGGTTAAGGGTTACACAAGCAACTGAAGTAATTGTTGTCAATAAGTTGTACACCTGTAAAAAATTAAATTGTCAAAAGTTGTGTGAATATGTATGTTTACAACAACAACAAAATGGCAGCTTCTAAGGTTTTCTGATATACAGCCAAACACCTCATTGGATTCGTTTTTTTTTAGTTTGGAAGTCTAAAGTCATGGCTTCATGGAACATCCCAGTTAACTGACCTAATATCATGTTTCATGTTTATGTTGTAACTCCAAGTTCACTGAGTAGTGCCTGGGGTCTTAAAAGCTTGAAAAAAGTCATCCAAGGAAAAACAATTGGTCCCTATTAGCCTAGTGAACATAGGAAGAAACAGTTAGAAGTTGGAGGAAGAAATGGAGTGCATGGCTGATTGCCTCCCTGAACAACTGCCTCATATGCTATAAGACTGCAAGAAATGATTGGAGCCCAGCTTCCATTACTGAATGTTTTTATCAAAGAGTCTATAGATGAATCTTGATCAAAAGGGGGGAAATGCAGAACAGAATTTAAAATTTCCATGGAATCCAGATTATCTGGAGTCATTGAGGCTGGATGAACTCCCCAAAACTGTTGCCCTGTGATAGTATTTAACCTTTAAACCAAAAACATCTCCCCAAGTTTTCTTAAAATCAAACAGTAGTTTAGCTTAACTACTAAGGAAGTTAGCTTAACTACTAAGGAATTCTCCCTTTAGCTCTTTTAAGAACTATCCATGTAAGGTCAACAACTCAAAAGATTAAAGAGAAAACCAAAGACTCTCTGAGTTGATGTTAATAGGAGAAGGACAATTCAGAAAAGTAGGGTGAGAATGGTTGTACATACTGAATATAATCAATGTCAATGAATTGTACATGCAGAAATTCTTGAGTAGGTACATGTTCTGTTGTGTAGGTTCTCAACAACAACAACAAAAACAATAATTGTAAAACATTAGTGGTATATCCATGTGATAAAGTATTATTTGGCAATATAAGGGAGTGAATTACTAGTACATGCTACAACATGAGTGGACCTTAAAAACATTATGCTAAGTGAAAGAAGCCAGACACAAAGTCATATATTTTTGTGACAAGTCAGATAGGCAACTACATGGTTGATGGATGCCAAAGACAAATGGAATGGAGGATGGTTGTTAGTCGGTGTGAGCGTCTTTTGAGAGAGAATGAGAGTTTCTAGTTTTAGATCTGTGCATGTACTGAAAACCACTAACTTTGAGTGAATTTTATGCTATGTGATTTACATCTCAATAAAAGTGTTCTTTTTTTTTTAAAAAGAAATACATATAACACCTTTCCAAACCCTTAAGCTATGTCGTACTTTTCTGTGAATTCCAGAAAAAAATTTGTTGGTTTATGTTCAAGGAAAAAGTTTTTCTCCTTCCTTTCATATTCAAATGCTCTAAAAGTAACCAGAGAAAGAATAGGAACATCTATGGGTTTATCCAATATATTTAGTCAATTTTAATAAAACATAACTTTAAAACATCAATAAGCCTTATAATTAAATGTGGCATCAATCTGATTCTTGGCAATCACTTTGGAAGCCACACCAGTTCTCTAGAGCTTAGATTTAATGCTTTACAAATTCTAAAGGCAACCCATGTATGTTCAGGTATGTGCAAATACAGGTTTATCATTCAGCCCTGCTTATTTTTCTGCCTCTCCCCTGCAAGACATACGTCATGACCTATTCTCTTGGCCTCTCCATTTGATACTGAAATTATCCCAAATCTGAACATTTGCCTTAATCCCTCTCCCAACAGACATGAGCTAGTGGGGCAGGAACATCTTTGAAGGAGAGAACCTAAAAGTGCAGGCAGTTCTTTCTTGAGGAAAAAAATGACACATATCTGTCAAGGACGAAGGGTGGGAGGCTGAGAACAGATGTCGGATTTGAAGACAATGTGGCTGAAGAATCTTTAGTTTAGGAAACATTGATTTCAGAGAACAGTAGACAAAGTGCTCAGGCAGATGATCTTCCATCATCTGCATTTGTCTGTGATGTTGTCTCCACTCACTCCCAAGGAGTTTCCAGACCAAGGCTCACATGTGACTGAAGGAAGGCCCCTACTTCCCTTTTTAAAACAGCAATTTTGTAAGATGCTCAGTTTTAGAAGTTCCACACTCAGTGTTCCACAGGAATGCACAGCCTGGGACAGGCAGATGGTGAGCTTCTGTGATTCACTAGACAGCCAAGATGTTTGCTACTGAGTATGGCTGGTGTCAGTGTGTGTGTGTGTGTGTGTGAATTTGGTTTCAAAAATCAATGTTGCTACTGAGTATGGCTGGTGTCAGTGTGTGTGTGTGTGTGTGAATTTGGTTTCAAAAATCAATGTGACACTTATAGATGTTACCATGTTGCCTACTAAGGCAAAGAATTTTGGAATTAACTTAATCAAAAGCCTGGAAAAGTTTTTATAACCTTCCCAATTATAAGTCTGAACACCAGGATGTATTGTGATGCCAAAGACTCTGCTTTGAAGGAAAAAAAAAGGAAACAGCTTCACATACCATTAGTGTTCTCCAGGACAGTGGTATCTTTCATAAATGCTACATCTCCACTCTTCTCAGCCAGACACCTAGAATGTTCCAGAAAATAAGCACATTAACCAGAGAAGAGAGACTACTCGAGATTTTATCAATATGTCTAATACACATCCCAAAAACTAACAAAGGACGCAAACATAAAGTTAAATAATAGCAATGTGGTGGCTTTTTGTTGTTTTTTTTCTTAAGTCATAAGCCCATAAAGGAGAGAGAGAGAATGAAGAGGAGATAATATTGATAACAGTAAAAGTTATGGACAAATGGATGTGCAGTGAATGCCCTAGCTACAAACCTAAGTCAAAAGTGAGGCTAGCTCAGAAGACAGCTGATGTGTACTGTGCAATCAGGCATACTGGGTACCTTGAACAGGAGGATTGGATGAAGCCCACATAAGGTTCAGTCTAGGTGCCCTTATACCTCAGTGCAAATGGGAGGTTATTCCTCCCTCCCCCTGACAGAAAAATGAAGCTTTCTTCACTGGGAAGGTTGAGCTTGGAGGCACTATGGACTAGATCTACAGCCAAATGTTGATGAAGGCAAGGATGCAACACTGCTAACTGAAAACAGAGATTGGAATGAAAACTCATACCCTGCAAGATTCAATCCCAAAGCCGTTTCTCCACTCAGCTCCCAAAGGCTAGCTCCCAGAGTTATAGCTCCCAAGGAGCAAACAGGAAGATTCATTCTCTGGGAAAAATGATCAATTTAAGAGAAATCCCTACGGATTCTGACACTGGCTTGCCCCATAGTGAAATGACTCCATTTGCCTTACAGAGAGACCCAGTAGTTATTGACTTGGTCACAGACACAGAACTAAGAATCGATTTATGCTGCTTCAGTCTCAGTATAAGCAAACAGCCAGGGACCATCAGATATTTGAAGAAAGATATATGATATAGACACCAATTACTCTCAGAGGATACAGAAGCAATCTAGAGCAGAGAATAAAACATATTTAACTCATTAAAGAAATGGAAGAAGGTGTAGCATTCATAAAACAAGGAGAGAAAGTTCTAAAAAGGAACAGACTAGAATACAAGAGTTCTTAGAAAGTTACAATAATAACTGTCTCAACAAATTTTTTAAATGATACAATTATTCAATTAAACTGGGCATATCCCAGAAATGAAAATAGAGAGAAGAACAGATAATAATTGATAGTAATTAGAGAAATAAGGAAATAGAGGGATAGATTATTAAAGAAATAATAAAGTAGAAGTTCACAGTTGTGCTGTGACAGATCATGTCTGTCCCTTAGGGATGCAGTGCTGAGAGGGTGGGCTAAGGCACCTCATGGAGATGGGTGCAGGACACACCTGAAACTCCCAGCGTAGCCGTAGTATCTCTCCTTGCTGTTGGGGACGCACTTGTTCTGACCCATCTCGTCGCCGATACACAGAGCACAGAGACTGGACTTGGGATCTGCTCCAGGAGCACAGCTTTGACTAAAGAATTCATCTGTACAAAGGGAACATGGGAAGTCAGCTCTTCCACCAAAATCCACATAAACAGCCTTTACTTAACAGGTGCTGTGGACCAGGGAGAGAAGACCCCAGACTAGGCTGTGCCAAGGTCCTTGAAGTCTTTCTAGGGTTCTCTTATCAAAGTCAGTTCTGATAAGAAACAAAGTCAGTCTTCATAAGGCAAGCAAGCACCTGTTTCTAAGTTTGGAAAGCCAGGCCTATGAGGAATTTAGATCTAAAGCTCCATGAGGTTAAAAAAAAAAAATTCCCTCTGCTTCTTAATACCTGCATCCAGTCTTAGGGTACAGAAAACCAAACCCCACAACAGAGTGCATTGCCACCAAGCTGATTCCAACTCAGAGTGACCTATGTTACAGAGTAAAAGTACTCCACAAGGTTTTCTTGACTGTGATGTTTATGGAAGCAAATCTCCAGGCCTTCCACAGGGCTGCTGGGAGAGTTCCAGCTGACAACCTTTACGTTAGTGGAAGAGCACAAACTATTTAAATAAACTGATGTTGCAGTGGTTCTGTTTTTGATCCTGCGGTGGGCGATGCGGTTGTGGAAGTGGTATGCACCCATGATTCTAGCAGAACTTTTCCTTCAGGTTCCCCACTCCACTTCTCCTTGTCTTGGGTGCTCAGAGGTCCCCAGTGAACACCTATTCCCCAAGATGGCACAGGCATGGCTTTCTCCAGATTCCTTACCAAATTTGCAGGAGTCCGTCTGGTTGAAGAGCAGACCAATGGGGATGTTCCAGCCTGCAGTCCTGCCCACGGCAGTGTGGCAAGACGTCTTGCCCTTCAGAGAGTTCCAAGTGAGGTCAGCATCTGATTTCCTAACGACTGCCACAGCAAGATACCCTGGCACCAAAGATGACAGAAAGAGCAAGTCTTAGATCGCTCCAGGGCAGCTGTCTGCAACCCAGGCCGTTGTGGGTCAGTGAGCAGCATCAGGAGGTGATTCTCCCAAATAGCTGGTCCTTGTCAGGAGGCCCTAACAAGCTTCTGCTGCTGCACTATGAGGAGGGGAGACTGAGCTGAGCTATAGAATCAAATAACAAAGACTTGCTGGGACTCTCCTTGACCAGTCACATAATGTCCCTAAGCTGTAAATCAGATGGAGCTAGTAAACAACTACCGCTGAACAAGAGTGCCCCAAGTTGTATGTGTACAGATGAGGACAGCAAAAGTCACTAAACTGCTGCAGTTTACGTGTGTAGATGAGGAGCAGGATCTCCAAAGACAATCCCTGTACAGCTCCTTACACCATGGGAGGGCTAAGAAGCCGGCCGTCCTTGTCCACACAATGTACACTTAGCAGATGACCCCAGGGCTAGTCCAGAGCCTTCCCAGAAGCAGAGTAAGCACTGCCTCTGGCAGACAGGCTGGGGCAGTAGATAGAGTACTACTGGACTTGACACATGAGAGCTAGGTTCAAAGCCAGACCTGTCACAGTATTATTTACAGTTGTGAGTGAAATTCTACACACTCCAGGAAACCCTCTGAGTCACTCTTGTTCATCTGTATAACCTAAAGGTGGTAACACAATGAGGAAATATGTAGAAATCATCTGCTAAGTGGCAAGGTTAATACAGGCATTCATTAAAATTCTTCTTCTATGAATAATTTGCAACTTCAAACGTGCTTATGGTTTCTACGGCTGTGTCTCTTTCTGCAGTGTTTTTCAAGTCCCTGACACCGTCTCCTTTGACGACCAGGACTTTTCCTGGACCCTGAAAGTGACCTAGTGGAACTCACCTTCTGTTGGTCTATTCACACAATCCAAGTCACTATTTCTTTGGGATTCTGAAAGACCAAAGATGAGCAAAACGTTACTAAGCACACTGATTTACTGACAAATCCCAAACTTCTAAATCTCATTAATGCAGAATCAAATCTGAGGAGGCTAAGTTCTGGTGGTTGCATGCAGCAGAAATGCATAGCTGTGCCCATCAAAGGCACACAGAGCTGGCCAGGGCAGGGCTATGCAAAAGTGCCAGCTATGGATTGAATGGGTCCCTCAAAATATGTGCTGGGAATCCTAACCCCAAAACCTGCTAGTCATAATCTCATTAGAGAAAATGTTTTCTGTGTTATATTAATGAATGAGGTAGCGTTTGTGCAGGATGTGTCTTCAATCAGTCTCTTTTGAAAATACAAAAGAGCAGATTAAGCAAGCAATGAAACACAGAGAGGAAGATACTTGCCACAAGATCACCAAGCAAACTAGGAAGAGAAACTGAAAAGAGACAAGGAGCTTCCCCCAGAGCAGACAGAGAAAACCTTCCCCTAGTGTCTGCACCCTGAATTCTGACTTCTAGCCTCTGGAACTGTGAGAAAATACATTTCTGTTCATGAAAGCCACCCTGTTGCAGTATTTCGGCTAATGCAGCATTGAGAAACCAATACAACAACCAAATGGTGGAAATACCCCTAATGCCCATAGATAACAGGAATGGTAACAAACTACAGTAGAGTCACATGACAAAATATCATACAATGGGATGGAATGTTCTCTACCTGCAGGCTCACTCGGATGAATCTCATAAACCTAACGGTGAGCAGGAGAAACCAGACACACACAAAGCACATGCTGTGGGACAACGTCAACGCAACGTTCACAAATAAGCAGAGCTCATTTGTGCTGTTGGAAGTCAGGATGGTGGCTTCCTTTGGGAGGATGGGGGTAATGACAAGAGGGCCCAAAGGGGAGTTGTGAAACATTCACAGCTCACTGTGGATACTAGTCACGTGGGGAAGTACAGCGTATGAAATGGCACTGAGTTATATACACTAAGTACAATTTTCTGTATGTGTTATACTTCACCACAACTGTTTCTAAAATAAGAAAAGGATACCAGTCTATGCTTTGTCAGTTCTCAGTGCAATAGGCAGATGGGTAACTACATGGTTTCATGAATTCTTTCCCTTGGTTCTCTTGTTTGAATGTATCCATCCACTGTAACATCTTCCCTGTCCCCATCCCAATGGCCCAGAGGGAATCAAACCATCTTCCACTTACTGGTGTTCTCTGCCAGGACAGGCACCAAACCACACTTGCCAGCCGTGTAGATGTGTCCTCCGTCCAAGCTCATGGCATCAGCATTTCCCTTCTGCAAAGATAAAGCAAATCTGTGGCATTACAATGAAGCTGTTGTTACAGCTGTTAACCCCATCCAGTCTGGCGTTACCTCTCGCTGAGAGACTGACTCTATGTCATCTCTACGTCCAGAGCACAAGAGACAGGAGTCATTAGAACTGCGCATCCAAAGGTAACACACAAAGGTAATTCTCTACCAGCCCTGCAACAGTTCAATTAAAACACCAGACACAAGTTGCACTAAGCCTCTGTCCTCTAGACAAAACCCTTTCTGTGCCCTAGCATACTGGGGATGTCTTCTGGGACCAGCCTCCCTCACTGAGGAGACAGATGAGAACAGCTGGCTTTGGCAAGTCTACACTCATTAACTCAATACTCAGAGTGCTACAGGATCTCTGGTGGCACCATAGGTTAAGCTTTACACTATTAACTGCAAGATTGGTGGTTCAAACCCACCAGCTGCTCCACAGAAGGCTATGACAGTCTGCTCCCATAAAGATTTACAGTCTCAGAAACCCTGTGGAGCAGTTCTACTTTGCCCTATCAGAACAGAACCATCAATTCGATGGGAGTGGGTGGACACAGAACTACAAAGAGTTGCTCCATAGATGAGCAGAAATTATTAACTCTATTCATTACTATAGATTTAATGTGTCCCCCCAAAAGATAGGTTCACGTTCTAACCACCTGTACTTGTAAATGCAGACTTGTTTGGAAACAGGGTTTATAACATAACATCCCTTTTTAAAGTGTTGAAGAGCAAAGACGTCAGCTTGAGGACTAAGGTGCACCTGACCCAAACGAAGGTATTTTCAATAACCTCATATGCATGCGAAAGCTGGACAGTGAATAAGGAAGACTGTAGAAGAATTGATACTTTTGAGTTATGGTGCTGGAGGAGAATATTGAAAGTGCCATGGGTTGCCAAAAGAACAGAGAGATCCGTTTTGGAAGAAGTGCAACCAGAGTGTTCCTTAGAGGCCAAGATGGCCAAACTTCATCTCTCATACTTTGGACATATTGTCAGGAGGGACCAGTCGCTGAAGAAGGATATCATGTTTGGTAAGGTGGAAGTTCAGAGAAAAAGAGGAAGACCCCCAGTGAAATGGCTTGGCCAAGTGGCAGCATCGATGGACTCAAGTGTGGCAACAATAGTGAGGTTGGCCCAGGATCAGGCAGTGTTTCATTCTACTGTGCATAAGGTCGCTATGGGTTGGTACCAATCCGATGGCACCTAACAACAACTGGAGAAGGGGAAGAGTCCTAATCCAAACTGAGGATGTCTTTGTAAAAGATGAGAACAGACACAGAGAAATGCACAGAGAGAAGATGACCATGTGAAGACAAAGGTAGAGACTGAAGTGATCTACAAGCCAAGGATCACTGAATATCACCAGAAGCTGGGAGAGAGACAAGCAACAGATTCTCCCTCAGAAGGAATCAACATGGCCAATGCCCAGACTTGGACTTACAGACTTCAGAACTAAGAGAGAATAGATTTGTTCATATACACTATCCAGCTTGTGGTACACTGTTACAAAAGCTCTGGGAAACAAATCCCCTCACCATCAGCGTGCATGAGCTCACCCTTCAAGTTTGGAACATGGATTCATCAAGATTATAAAGTTCCCTCTTTGACCCAGTAACCATTTTTTTTACAACAATATTAAAAAATAAGCGGACAATCAAGTCCCTTTGGGGCAAACCCCCTTCCAAGACTGAAACTCAAAGGGAATGCACATACAGGCATGTAATCTTACTAGCGACCACGCTAGTCTACCAATAAGGGGAAGTGGGGGATAAACAGCAATGAAGCTGTGGACTGAGTCCAGCCACGTTCAACAGACTCCCATCAACCTGGTGTGAGACCTGGTTGGCCAGCAGTATGGCTATACCTGGGGACTACTGAGCCCCTGGACAGGGACACAGCCACAGAGGACTAGAGCGGAGAGTGAAGTGTCCAGCTGATATGAAGTGAGGGGAAATGCACAGGAACGCCCATACTTGCTGATAGTACCCATTTGACCTAGCTTCAAATGGATGATCAGAACCCAACTACAGGAAGAAAGAAGAGGGGGGGAAAGGAGTAATACACTACAATTTAATGAATTTGACCTATACTTATGGATGTAGTAGCTTTAAAGAGGGAACACATCTTTACAGCAAGGATCATTCCCAACCCCTCTGTACACAGGGATGACAGGGATGGGCAACTTGGGCATTGGCTACCCAAAATGGGGGGCTGTAAAGGCATGAAGTGACTGGCTTACAAGATTTCAAGAAGGAGCTTAGTTCCAGAGGTTGCAGAGGAAGGTATAATCTCCACTGAGTGGTTTCCAACCTGACTAGACGGGACTGGTGAAAGGAGGTGGGGATAAGACTCTTGTGGTTCAGTAGTGAATAAATGTTATCAGGACTGATTGTGATTGTAGCAAATATAAAGGTAGACATTTTGTAATAAAAGGAGGGGAGTGGTTGATCTTGCAGTCCAGGAGCGGAGGACCCTGGGATCATCAAGGGAGAAGAAAGGAATGCGGGACCCTATGCTGAGAAGCAGTGATGCCAGAAATGGAGGCAGAGACGATGACGTGGAGAGATGGAGCAGCTAGGGACTCTAGCCTCGGAGCAGCTGGGGACTCTAGACTCAAGGAGGGAGAGGGGCTGTGTGCTGGCAGCCAGGGAGCAGGCTTGAAGGGTGTGCCCTTTGGTTGTTTGAATGGTTATATATTCCTGAGTGCTTTGGTGTACATCCAAAAAAATAAGTGAATGGAAGCAAATGTTGTTGGATGATGATGCATGGAAGGTATTGAAGTCATTGCAATGAAACAAAATACGATAGGATGGATGTAAAGCTGATGTTCTCCCATGTAAACTATCACTCAATTCAGAATGAAAACTTAAGATAACTAAATTAATAAGTGGAGATGTGGACAAAGATTTCTCTTCAAGGATGTCTCATCACATAGTTATTGCTAACAGCAGAATAAGGGGACAAAGAGGAGTAGAGTTGTAACTAAACAGAGACCCATCATCATAAAAGACTTGAAATCATTTTTTAAAAGGTATCTTCAAACAATCTGTATTCATGTGAGGAAATGCCCATGGTATAGTGCCAAGTGAGGAAGGCCTCAACATTATGTAACTGTTCTGACCCAGCAGAGTTGCCTGCATGTTCATAATTGCACACTAAACTAACACTTTAAGCATGGCTGTCTCATGGTGAAGGTTTGTGTGGAAATGCTCTCCTAGAGGTTGGCAGTTTGAACCCACCCAGTGGTACCATGGAAGAAAGGGTATGGCAATGTGCTCACATAAAGATTAGAGTCAAGAAAATCCTATGGAGCTGTCCTACTCTGTCACACAAGAGATTGCCATAAGCTGGAATCAAACACAACATCTCTGTGTGAGATCCCAAGTGGGTTTTATTGTTTTGCAGTATACCTCTCTATATAGTCCCTGGAGAAGGACATCACACTTGGTAAAGTAGAAGGTCAGAGAAAAGGAAGACCCCCAATTAGACAGATTGACACAGTGGCAGTAACAATGGGCTCAATTATAACAACAATTATGAAGATGGCACAAGACTGGGCAGTTTTTCCTTTTGTTGTACATAGGGTCACTCAACAGCGCCTAGCAACAACAATATATTCCAGATTACCTACAACAATCTTGAGTTTTTCTTACATTTACTGTTGTTGTTAAGTGGCATTGAGTTGGAGCCAACTCATAGTGACCCTATATAGGGCTTCCAAGAAGCAACTGGTGGGCTTGAATCGCCAACCTCGTGGTTAGCAGTCCAGTGCTTATCCTACAGTGCCACACCAGGAGTAAAAAACCCTCAATAAACAGTTTGTTAATCATGAAACTGTTTACACAACCTTATAATTATACTCACAGTGCTAGAGGAATCCCTGGTGGCACCATGGGTTAAGCTTTGCACTGGTAGCTGCAAGGTCAGACCTGAGCAGACATTTTCCGAAAGTTCCTGCCTAGTCTTCACTTTTAAACGGAGCCCGAGCCCCAGCTGGATGGACACCTTGTGACAGAGGCCCAGTGCCTACCATGATCTCGGTGATGCAGTCCTCGGTGGTAGCAGCCATGATGCAGGACACTTTCCCTCTGCTGTGGTAGCGCCACTGGGTGCACTTGCGTTGCTCCTGGGTGCCCATGGCACACCATACCACCCGGGTGCGCCGTGCCTCTGCCACCGATGACTCTGGGGAGAGGGAGGAGAGCTGGGTTGGCAGGGACACCTGAGCACCACCACCATGTGACAATAGCAGGAGCTGTCCCTCATATCTCTGCAGAGTCCACTCAGAGTGCCCTGTCCTGCTTACAACCCTCCAGCAGAGAGACTAGGGGTAACTTCCTCTAATGGGGGAGACAAGACATGGACCTTCTCCTACTCAATCTTCAACCCCCAACCCCTTCCTCAGGTGGGTGCAGCTCCTTTGTCACTTCCATTCCCTTGGAAACCTTCTTCGACTTCAAACCCATTTAATCATGCCTAGTGCAATAATTTGTCTAATGTCTCCATCCCATGAGATAAAAGTCCATAATAAGGGACCAGCAGCTGCCCCAAGAAGTGGCACCTGGCACCCCCATGAACTGCAATGCCATCATATATTTGCCAAGACTCCCACTTCAGACCCACCAATAGAAGAATAGCCATAGCTCACTTCCCCATATTATCCTGGCCAAGCCTTGTGGGACAGGACCCTGGCTCTGTCAGCTCCTGCTCATAGACATCAGGAAGACATGTCAGTAGTATCAGATGTCTGGGACATTGAATATGCCTCTCACGTGTTAAAATGCCCTGACTTAGCCTACAGGAGGTACGGAACCTGCGTGACACCCACCACGTGAAGAGCCCTCATTGGTCAGAACACTGAGCAACGACCACCACTGAGCACATGGGCCACAAGTGAGCAGGTGTCAGGTGCTCCCCAGAAGGCCTCCCCTTTGGCTCCCCACCCTGCACAGTCCTCACTCACTTTCCTTCAGGTTCCTGAAGGCAGTACGGTAGCTGTAGTCAACGTACAGTTCCGAGTCTATCTTTGAGGGGATCCTCAAAAATCCAAGGGCAGCGTCCTTGAATATCAGGTCCTTCTTTGAAGGAGGGGAGGCAAAGAGTTGGAATGCTGGTGGCCTGGTTTTTCCAAACCTTTCCTAATTAAGGGAAAACAGAATTATTATTAAGTGTTCATAGTAAGCAGGGAGGAGATACAAAACAATGTTGAAAAAGAGTATCTGGGGGTGAAAAAAGAGTATCTGGATCTTAGGGAAGCTCAGTTGGCATCTTCCAACAGAGAGAGGTGCCCATCCCCATGACAATCTCAGCAATGGCTTTTCCTATGGAAAGTTTTCCTGTGAATAGGAACAACCTGAGAATATTGTCTCCTCCTCCCCCTGCTTCTGCTACAGCCCACTCAGGATGTGCTTGGCGGTTACAGGGGATGGACACTCTGAAGTCCCCCAGCCATTCCCATCCCCTAGTGGACTGTGAGCTGGGCTGCTAACCACAAGGTCAGCAGTTCAAATCTATCAGTTGCTCTGTAAGAGAAAGATGAGGTTGTCTGCTCCCGTAAAGATTTACAGGCTTAGAAATCCTCTCCAGGGTCGCTATGAGTTGGAACTGACTCAGTGGTACACCACCACCACTATGTACGTCTATGGCTCTAAGTATACACTATTGGAATCCTGGTATGGTGTTGTAGGATAATGCACTAGACCACAAGGTCAGCTTGAGTTGTAAGGTTGGCAGTTCAAACTCACCAGCGGCTCTTCGGAAACCCTATATGGGGTCAATATGAGTCAGAACCAACTCAACGGCACTGAAAGTCCAGTACTCAGGCTGAACACAGATGCTTCTCGGTTCTCAACGTTTTCTGAAGCCAGAACTACCCTCACCTGTCTGCCCTCATAGGTAACTCGCCCATACATAACGTTTCCTTTCTCCCCACCATATTTTCCAGGACAGCAGCTGGGTTTCCAAGCGATATAACCCAGGCAAACCCCAGTACCAGATACGGAGTCAGGGCAGTCCTGGGAGGGGCACTTGGAGATACTATAAATCCTGGCACCCTCAGGCTAGTTGTGGGAACAAGGGAGCATTGTGTCCAGGAAGCACTGGGGCCCAGAAGCTGAGGGAGGCAGCACAGGGGCACCCAGGAGGGCAGAAGCTGAGAGGTCTGGCTTCCCCAAGGCAAATACAGAGGACCAAATGCATGGGGCTTCAGCCTTGTATACCTCCCGGCTGTCCCCTGGTGGGAAAGATGGGAAGAGGGAGAAATCACTTTCACTTAAAATCACAGAAGATTTGCTTAAAGAATATGAGGGCTGAAAAGCAAAATTAGACTTGTAAAAGGTAGAGGGGCCAACTCTGATACTGTGAGTAGCCAGTGCTAGATGGGAGGGTTTTATTGTTTGTGCTGGCCAAAGTATAGGTGGGGCACAAACAGTCCAATACATGCCTGACCTTTTCTTCAGTGAGACTACTGAAGGCCTTCCAGAGCAGCAAGAAGTTCAAGAAGGAAGGCCAACCCCACCCCATATCTAATCAATAGAGAGAACTGTGAATGGAGATACCTGTGCTTGCCTCAGAAGCTCCCAGATCAAATCATGCTTGCCATCCACACTTCGAGCCACAACAGCATGAGAACGAACTCGGGCCAGGTGGCACTCCTTGTATGCATCCACTGGCTTCCGGGTGTTGTCTGGGCAGAGCAGCTCATACTGGTCCCTGTCAGCCTTGTTTGGCAGACTCTCTGGGCAGAGGAAAGGGTTGAGAAGGGGCTCAGATGAACCAACTCCAAGCAGTAGCTATGAACTATAGTTTCCCTCTACCCATAGAATTTTGAGCGAGAAGAGCTGTCTTATACAGATGACCAAACTGAAGGCCAAAATGACAGTGAATTACCCCTAAGTCCTCAGAGAGGTAAAGACATTGCCCAAACTGCTTTGGGGCCAGTCCAGTGCTCCGAGCCAGAGGGTCAAACCAGACTCCATCTGTTCCCATAGCAGCCTTGTGTGGGAAGCAAAGAGGGCCTCACCATAGCAAAAAACCTGGGAGCTAGCCAGGGAACACTATCTTACACACATCTCTAAAAACTATTAAAAGGGCAACAATTTCAAAGGCAGAAATAGTTATCCACTCCCCAGAACTGTGGCAAAAGAGGGAGAATGTTTCTATGAGTGAGATCACTCACATTTCCAAAGGACTATTAATATAGTTCATATACGTTACTTCAGAATATAACAAGTAAAAGAAACCTGTCCAAATTATTTAATGATTACTGACACATTGATCTGAAAATCACAGAAAGTTAAATGCCAGGGGAAGAATTACAGGATGATTTTACTTAAGAACATAAATGTAAAAATCCCAGATCACATGTTGATTCAATTGACCTAACAGAGTATTTCAAAACTAATGAATCAGGACTAAGTCTTATCCATTTTGTCCATTACCAAAAGAATGGTTGAACATCAAAAAAGATAAAGTAATCCATTTTAATCTATGTTAATAGATTAAAAGAGAGAAACAATGAAATCATGTTACACTTAAGAGGGGTAGAAAAATCATTTATTATGGCCACTCTTGTAATTTTTTTAAATGTCAGAAATTTAATACTAGCAGAGAACTTGATAAAGTTATGGAACTTGATAAATACCATTTATCAAAAATCTACAGCAAAATCCTTCCAAAGAATTTAGATATATTCACTTCAAGACAAGAACAAGGCAAGACTGCCTGCTTATCACCATTATTGCTAAACACAATACTAAGCCTCATGGATTACACAATTAAACAAGAATTCGATACAAACACTAAAGGAAAATGATAAATTCTTCCTTGAAGATGATTTATCACCTAGCTAAAAAGCTAACAAAATCCACAGAATGCTAATTAAACTAACAACAAATGCAGCAAGATAACAAGTTACAAGATCAATCTATAAAAATCAAATGTTATCGACAAAGGTGGGAAAATATGCAATCATAAAGCAAAATAAAACTGTACTAAGATTTAAAAAAAAAAATCAAGTGCTAGCTTCATTAGCAACAACCAAAAAGAAAACAATATAGACTATAAGATACTACAATAGCAACTAAAACCACTACAGCTAGTAATTAGCCTCACAAAATAATGCATGAGACCCACAAATGGAAAATGCTTAAGTCCTGTTGAAGGCTATAAAAAGTAATGTGATAAAAATGGAGAGACTGGAGAACAAACAAGATGGTGGATCGGGCAGACATGCAGTGAGGAGCTCCGTTAGCAATAACACAGAATACTGGACCAAGCAAACTCATGGGATGGTCCCAGAACTCTAAACCACATATAAAGGAATATTTAGAAGGTTGAAAGGCTTACAGCTACGGGAATTGGAAGCAGAAGCAAGAAATTCATTGCTTTCTAATTCAAGATGCTCAGCTGCTCCCGGAGCCACCATCTTGGACAAGACCAAGCAGAGGCTTGATAAGGAAGCCACAGACACCTGACAGAACCGTGGAGATAAAGGTGTGGACTTTTTTTTTATAATCTGTTTATTGGTCTCTCGCTGTCTGTACACCTCCATTCTGGTGACTAGAGGGGGTACCTGAGTGAGTGGACACCCCACCCCCACCCCAGAGGGTTCGACTATGTATGTGCACAGATCTCCTCGAAATTTAAAGAAACAGTTTCCACTTAAAACCCAACGGCAATGCAAAACAGCCACAACCGGCCCTGAACTGTTTATCACTAGGAAAAAGGCCTGAACGGGGATTGTGGAGCAGGACAGGCAGACTAAAAAGGAAATACGCTGAAAATTAAATACTGAGTTACATCACAACAACCAACAGTGGCATCTTGAGATTTCTCTGGAAGAAGAGTGAAAAGGGAAGCCCATCTCCTGATCACATCTACCTGGAGGCAATCAGAAAGCATAAAAATACCAAAATACACACCCACCTAAGTGTTAAGGCCATAGATAACTCCTGAATATGCCCAAAAAACAGAAACAGATGAGTACATGTCCAGAAACAAGATAAAGTGACAGAGGCAAAGGAGCTGGAAGGAGACCTACATCCCATATTGGAAGATGGGCAGGCTTTGGAAATGCCTGAGAAGGAATTCAGAAAAATGATTATAAAATGTATCAAAACACTATACAATGCAGTTGAG